ACAGTCTTGCTAATCTCCGCGTAGCGTATGCATCTCATTTTGTCAGAGTGCTGAATTGCTTTCATTGTTCTTATTTCGAAATATACTTTCAAATTATTGCTTTTGGAGTCCTTATCGAAGGGCTCCCTGCCGTGTTCCCCGGCGGATTACGTGTTTTATTCTTGAGCTAATTTGTTGATCTTGTCAATTATTTGAATTTCAATTCGTCTTTGTGGCTTGTGCGCCACATGGGAATCATTTTCATCATCGATTTTTTTTTAGTTCATAATAGACTATATAGTGCGAGTCTTTTTCTTGGGTGAAATTGAGTAACTCATCCTGCTATTGAAAGATCGCAAATTTATGCTGCATGGCAGGTATTTTTCTTGGATTATTTGATCGTTTTTATATAATGCAGTCAAACCTCCCTAAAAGTCAAACTTCAAAAGACCATTAAAAAATTCAACTTGGAGAGATTTGGAGTTAGGGAAACAAGCATTTTTGATGAGGAAAACCTGGAAGAATTGCTGGAAATTAGGACTGTTAACGTTCTGAGCCTTAAATTGATTTTTAAATGAGTTGACAGCAGGTTGCTGAACTTGGAGGGAGGTGTTCATTTGCCTAATAAATCTTTCACTTCCTTTCAAAACACATCGTTAATTTTTTGCTTTTGGTTTTCGTCTGCCACGAAAAAAAATAAACAAAAGGGCTCATAAAATTCGAGTTCTGGAGGTTTTAGAGGAAAAGCCTTCGAGTTATGGAAGCATTTTTAATGCATCGTTTCTAAATGGATTAAGCTGCTGGGGACTTGAAAAAAATTCTAAATAATCGAAGTCAAGCTATTATCATTGCAATCAGGCCAATCACGCATGTAATTTTTAAAATTCCTTTTGTGGCATGATTCTGCTGAAAGTCTACAGAAACATGAGATAACTTGAAACGTATAGAAAAATACTGCCTAAATTCGACTATAATTGCATCGTTCGAATGCATTTCGTCGTTTCTGATGCACGAATTACTTTCGCTGTGTAGGGCAAAATTAAACTTCATTCTCATGATGATTGAACACAATTTTCCTTTCCATTTTAGCGTAACAGGATTTAGGAAAGCACTACATTCAAACTTGGCCCTCCATTCGAAGTTGCACTTGACGTACTTCGTAATAAGCCAGTCTTGAGCAGATTTCCTTTGCCGGAACAACCGGAATAACGCTTTCCGAAACTTTTTGCATGCTGATAGCCGTTTGCGGCCATCTTGTCTCTCTGAAGCCAATTGCTTTGGTTCCCTTTGAATTTGATTCCGAGCAGTCGAACACAAAAAAGGTCTTTTTAGAATTTCACGCAATTTCAACTGATGAGTTGCATTTGGGGATAAAAATGCTGTAGACCAATTTAATCAAAATGGATTCAAGTCCAAGTAAAATCCTTGATGCAGGGGTTTTCCTACTATTCAGCATGTTTCATAATTACCTTCGGGCCTCGTTAACTCAATCCTCCCCGTAAGTAAAAAGAACCTCCGTGTGTCAAATTTTTGTTCGGCTGAATTCCCTTGAGAACCACGTAACATACGTATACTGTACGTATAACCCAAAGGCTTCACCCGCCAAACCCCAACATTTCTAGATGAGGCCCTTTACCTATTATTTTAGTGACCCAGGAAAGAGAAGAGCAACAAAAATTTTCTTTAATACTTTTCGAAAAAAATGAGTACAGTATAGCAAATTGGGTAAATGTACCCTTGTTTTTAGGTTCATCGCCCTGTCGACTGATTTACACTACAGTTCAAGGACCGGAAGATGAACAATTTATTTTTCCTTCAGTTTTCACTCCGCACTGGTATTTCTAACTTCTAGAAGACTTCCGAGTGAAAAATGTCGTGGGTTCTCCAAGGTAAAAGTAAAGACGTTTGACATCTTAGCAGTCCTGTACAGTACAGAAGTGAAAAATCTCAAGCGCAAATGATTTTTAAAATAACGAAGATCTCAAACTCGACCTCGAAAATAGGTTGGAGTCATTTTTAAATATGCGTGAGAAGCTAGGCAGACATTTTTTTTTAAAGTATCGTGAAACGCTTGTATACTAAGCCTCTACGAATGGGAGAATTTCATGATCGGGATTTCGTTTTTTTAAAGTTTTTGACGGTTGCGACACGAGCATCGAAAAGTTTATTTTTTCTTTTTTTTTTTGCCTTACAGTTGTGACATTTCGACTTTTTGATGGGAGGGAATATCTTGTTGCAGGAAGGCAGTGAGAGCCACGCTGATCTTGGCCCCGTTGTTCGGCATGAACTTCCTGACGACTTTATATCGACCTCCCGAGGTTTGCGACGACTGGTCCAGGGCTTATGACATTCTCAAGAACGTTGTCGACGGCACGCAAGGATTCTTCGTCGCCCTGCTTTTTTGCTACCTCAACGGAGAAGTGAGTTCTGTATAAGCATTCATATGGTATATAAAGAAATACATGTACCGTACTCTTTCGGGCTGTTTGAACCTCCTCCTATGGGCAATTATTTTCGTATCATTTCGTATCTCATTCCCGTCGAACATGAGAGAAACACAAAGATTTTTCGGGATATGTATGTACGATGCATGCGACGTCGATTCTCCCTTTTTTTTTTCTTTGCTCTTCCCTGTATAATCCATGTTCCATTTTGAAATTCGTGTCAGACACTGACGGGAGTTTTAGAAACCCATTTTTTGCCAAGTTTTTCGAAATTTTTTCAAAGTTCATTTGCGCGATTAAAAAAAAAAAAAGATATTCGGAAGGCCAAATAAGATGACATCTTTTCGATCGATGATTTTTCTCAGCCGTTAGCATGCGCTTTGACGTCTTCGCAGAAGCCCAACAAGTTGAAGACTGTTGCATGGCGGATAATCTCTCGAAAAACACGCAATACTTGATTCTTTTCTACCTAGAAACGCAATTGAAATACTCCAACGCGGTGATATTACGCAATATATGATGCAAGTAAATTTTGAACCTCATTCCGTCAAATAGTGGAAAAATTAAGAATCTTGTCGCAAATAATGTTCAGTGTCATCAAGTCCTCGAAAATTGGCCGCATTTTTATATTTATTTATTTATTTTCATCAACGTGGACGTAACGCGTAAGAATATTTTACTGCATTTAATGTATGCTGTGATTATTTCATATAATAGAATACAGTCGAACCTTGATAACTCAAACACCCCCCTCCCCCAGTCAAAAACCTCCCAAAGTCGATTTTTTTCAAAGTACCTGCTGCTTGAATTTCCTTAAAAATGTTGCTGTTTAAACCTCCCTACCTCGATTTTTTGCTGGTCCCGTGAGGTTCGACTTAAAGAGGTTCGAGCATTCGATTGAAAATGTCAGTCTCATTTCACGCATGCAAATTTTTCAAAAAAAATTTCAATCATAAGCAAACTAAATGCGCTGAAACTGCTGCGATCGTCTTTTTCGATGAAAATCCAAAACATATCAAGTGGCTTGAAGCACACCTGCACTCTTGCCGAGCAATTCGTTCTCTAATTTCTAAAGAAAATTATAGTTGTTCATTTTATTAAGAAAAATATTCAAAAGCAGGTTCTTGTGAACAAAAACACGTTGTTGTGAGCCAATTACATCAAATCAAAGCGGTAAATAGCTACAGTACTCCTGATGATAACTACTTCCGACGCTTTTTTGCTTTTCCTGCGCTCATGATAAATATTTAATGAAGAAAGAATCCAGCTATTTCGTTTGCTGGAATAAAGAGTGTAAACTGTGGGGTTGTACTGGGGATACTTTTTTCTCGCATTGTATTCCTTAAAAAAATAAAGACATGTTTCAGAGAAGTCACGCTCGACGTTTGAATTTTCATTTAATTTATTGCATATTTTTTAAAGGCTTCCTCTCAAAAGTATTCGATGCAAATATATACGGCGTCTGACAGATGTTCTTGAGATAGAAATTGAAGCGGCATTGGATTGAGCTGGAAAACCACAATTACTGTTGAGGAAAAATAATATTTTGCACAAGAAAACGAATTCAGCGTTTTTCATATTTTTCAGAACATTTTTGCTAAATTCACCCTGGCGGCTTTCTGCTTTTCACTCAAAACATGAAGTGCGCATATTGCGCAGATTTGTTTGGTCTAGCCCAGGTTCCTCTTCAGAATTCTCGAAATTGACATGGGATTCATTTCTAATGATTAATTTCTAGGGTTGCCTCCAGGTCTTCCAATAAGTTAATTCCGTCTTTTTCATGAACAGCTGCATTCTCATCACAAGTGGCGGCTATTTATAGAAATGGCGGAATTGTTCAGCAATTCAATGCGGGATCTTTCGGAATGAATGCTATGTAAATCTTAAGAATTTTGAAGGGGAAAAAGGGTTACATCAAAATAATGTACGAGATGGGTGCCTCATCTTTCGATGTGATACCATATACGGCTGACTCTCGCAAACATTTTCTGAAAAATACGCCAAACTGGGCTGACTTTCGCAAGCACTTTCTGAAAAATACGCCAAACTTGGCTTAATTTTCTTCTTGTGCTGAAGAATGCGTTATTTGCACGAAAAATTGTCTTTTTTTCGATCCTATCCCGTTTCAATTTATATTTCCAGAAAAATTGATAGAACCCATATTTACTGTATTTGCGTCTATATAATGCTTTCGAAAAGAAGCCTTCAAAGATCAGGCGATGATTCAATAACAATTTTAATGTCGACCGTGACTTTCCTGAGTCCTCCTTATTAACTCAAGTTGTAGCAGAACTTGACATTTTTNCATGCGCTTTCATCTATCTCGAATGTTTGACATTAAAAGTATTTTACTTCGAAGGATGTAATTCGCATTTACAATCTGGTCACTGCCAGAAAATTTGAATTTCAGTGAGAGGTTGAATGAACTATGAACCCATACAGTACTTCTCACCAGAAAGTATGTAAAAATTCAGCTTGCGAAACCCGGTTTCTGCGCTTCACTTCCGCAAGCAACAATGCACGGATTATTTCCGGAAATGGCATAATTTATTCGGAAACAAAAACTTTACCCTCGAATGAAGTTCGGTATTCTTCGCATGAACGTTTGTAATGATGTACAGAATGAAGTTGTCGACTTCTGCTGGAATTTATGCATGGAAAATCTCGGTGAATAAACATGCACGAATAAAATAGCGATTTCATTCCATCGCGCAGCTCTGGAAAAGGAAGGCGTAAACCCGAGCCGGGTGACACATTGCGTCGCTACCCACGGACATTACGACCACGTCGGGAACATGAACCTGTTCCAGGATGCAAAGTGGCACATCGTGGGATTCACAGTGTTCCAGCCCAGAGATAAGTGTTACTTGCATCCTTTCGAATGCAACGAACCCTTCATCGTTGACGACTGGGTACGAATCCTCCCGACACCCGGCCACACCTTGTCCGACGTCACTGTCATCGTGGACGCTGTGGAAGGGATGGGAACCGTTGCTGTCGCAGGTGAATATTTTTTATCGTTATTTTTTGCTAAGTTTTCGGTTTCAAATCCTCCGTTTTCCATTCTTGCTAAAAGAAGAAAAAAAAACCACACAATTTTTCGAAATTTAATTGATCACCGCGAGTGCTGAGAAACGACCGAAATTTATTCCTTCAACAAACGGAATATATTTTTTCCATGAAACAGTTTATACAGCAGATGACCATCATAATTAAGCGACGTATTTGTCTGTCTTTTAAGGCATCAACTAAAGTAAAGATAATGACGATTTATTTGTCCTCATTTTCTTGAGCGGCATAAAAAGTTTGGATTTTTTTCAAAGGTTTTGCATTTGAGAATCATGAGAAAATTCGTATTTTCGTGAAAATTGATTCTCGACAATCTATACAGAAAAAAATAAGGTGCAAAGATTAGAAGAATGAAGTTCTGAAGATTCATGGATTGTGGATAACTTCAATTCGGAAAGATTTTTCTAAGCCGAAATATTTAAAAAACCCGTTTGAAATTGCGTTCGAACAACGAAATGTGCCCGTCTTCTGAGACTCGACTTCTTGTCTTCTTTTTTTTCTCTTTTCTTTTTTCAACACGAGAAAGGTTTTAAAAGTTCCGAATCCCAGGTTAACAGCAGGAATAAAACCTGCTCTAAATAGACCGGCTTCAGAAAGTTCTTTCCTATAAGACGAGGGTCATCCAGAAATAAACCTTTTTATTCCCTTTGGACCCATTCCCTCGGTTTTCCTCTCTTGAAGCAAAAATTTCGCCGCTTAAAAAAAGTTTTCTCTTTCAACAGGAGACCTATTTGAGAAAGAAGAAGATGTAGAGGACCCAAGCTTATGGATTGGGGCTGGAAGCGAAAATCCTGCCAAACAAAAGGAAAATCGATGGAAAATTGCCAGCATGGCAGATTGGATAATCCCTGGTCACGGACCTATTTTCAAGGTTACTGAAAAACATAGGGACAATTTGAAATCCCAGCTGCCTTAATTTTTTTGCGGCGGAACGATTACCTGCATTGAACCCTGAAGATATAAAGAAAATCTTGCACCACAATATTTTGATCTGAGATTCTTTTGCGTGACCTATGTTTTGATAATATTTTCGGGGTCAGGTAAAAATTCGAAATCCGCTTCTTGTTGCTAGGATTCTTTGCCGAGAGAATTATTTTCCTTTATTGTATGCCGTGAAAAATATACCTGAAGTTTTTCTCATATGGAGACTTTCAAATACTGTATATTAAGTGTGTATGTCATTTCACCGGCCATTCGATAGTGGGAGATTGAATTCATTTAGTCTTGATCTATGTTTTTTTTTGCCATTCTATTATATTATTCCTATTTGAATTAAAAAGACAATTCGGCATTGAGTAGTATTCTAGAGATAAATTTCGCGGAAAAAAATAGTTCCTGAATTTTTATGGGTATAGGTTGCGAAACGCCAACTAATACTTCGAGAAAATATTCCAAATTTTCGTCAAAATTGTCAGAATTGGACAAATACGACAATTTTGGTAAATTGAGTCGTTTCAAATGTGTATTTTTATTAAATTAGTTCAGTTCATCAGGAAAAAGTCTACAGAATATTTGAAAGGTCACGTTTTCGATTTTTTTGCTTGTTTGCTGATGTTGCAATCGTCGTCAAAATAAAACATTGACTAGCTTCGCGAACTTTTCGGAGCTTGCTACTGCACGCTCTCGCCGAAGCATTTTGCATACTGCACAAAGTACCACGCGCTCTATAGAAAAAGGCCCAGATGTTTTTAATGTTACAGAAGGAGCCCCTCTGAACAAGAGCGTGGAAGTCGAGTACTGCTACTGATCACGAAGAGAGTCAAAGTTCATGATGGGGTGACGGGGCCCCGCTGCGTATTTGCTCTTGCCATCAATCTTTACGTCTTGGGGGGGAAACAACGAGGAACCATGGGGTACTCATTAGTAGGGGTCATCAGTATGCATGGCGAGGAGACTCTTGAAACCACAGTCAGGGGAAAAGATATAAGTTTATGCGATGCCAGAGGGGANCAAACAAAAGGAAAATCGATGGAAAATTGCCAGCATGGCAGATTGGATAATCCCTGGTCACGGACCTATTTTCAAGGTTACTGAAAAACATAGGGACAATTTGAAATCCCAGCTGCCTTAATTTTTTCTGTGCGGCGAAACGATTACCTGCATTGAACCCTGAAGATATAAAGAATATTTTGCATCTCAGATTTATGTTTTTTATGCCATTCTATTATATTATTCGTAGTTGAATTAAAAAGACAATTCTGCATTGAGTAGTATTCTGGTGATGAATTTCGCGGAAAATATAATTCCTGAATTTTTATGTGTAGGTTGCGAAACGCCAACTAATACTTCGAGAAAAGATTCCAAATTTTCGTCAAAATTGTCAGAATTGGTCAAAATACGACAATTTTGGTGAATTGAGTCTTTTTTAATGTGTATTTTTGTTAAATCAGTTCAGTTCATCAGGAAAAAGTCTTCAGAAAATTTGAAAGGTCACGTTTTCGATTTTTTTGCTTGTTTGCTGATGTTGCAATCGTTGGCAAAATAAAACATTGACTAGCTTCGCGAACTTTTCGGAGTAACGATGACGTGCGAGAGCGGCTTCGTAAAACGTATGACGTGTTTCATGGTGCGCGAGATATCTTTTTCCGGGTCTACAAAAATTACAATGTCTTCCTCGGGGAGACTTGTTCTCGCACCTTCAGCTGTACTGCTACTGATCACGAAGAGAGTCAAAGTTCATGATGGGGTGACGGGGCCCCGCTGCGTATTTGCTCTTGCCATCAATCTTTACGTCTTGGGGGGGAAACAACGAGGAACCATGGGGTACTCATTAGTAGGGGTCATCAGTATGCATGGCGAGGAGACTCTTGAAACCACAGTCAGGGGAGAAGATATAAATTTATGCGATGCCAGAGGGGAATCTCGGGTTAAATGGAGAGGAAATTGAGTCCAGGTTATCTTTTTACGGCAGTGGATGAGTCGACCAAAACATGAAAACCAACTCTATTTTGGCCGGGTAAAGGTGTGAAGGAAAAAAAAAAACCAGATGACTTCTTACTTGTTATTTCGTTTTGAGGTTGACAGTCCAGTCCAGTGCAGTACAGTAATTTAACTTATCAAAAGATCAAGTATCCTCGTATAGTCGAATTTCATCTCTCGACCCGGCCCCTGAATTGGATTTTCTTTTCTATCAGCCATCGTCGGATTCACGTTCGAGAAGAATCAGCTTTTCTGATGGTCACACATCGGTTTATGAAATTCTGTTTACGGTTTGCACGAAATTCATAACTTCGTTAAGCCGAGATATTGAACATAATCTCTACGCATTATTATTATTTTCCAAGTTTCAACACAGCTCTATTCCAATGATCACAGAGAGCTCTTTTCCCGACTTTTGGACTTGTACGCACTTACAGCACTTCTGCGTTCTGTTGATCTTGTTTTGAGAGATTAGGAATCCCTTGTGAGCTTTGCAAAATATGGAAAAAAAAATCAGCTTATGGAGCAATGGTGGGAGGTTTTCATAATTTTTTTTCTTCTAGGAATGTTAATTCTAATCTCGAAGATCGCTTTCTCTTCCGGGTGGCGTCGTCCTTGAAATGAAAGCAAAATGTTCTCTATAATTCAGCCCGAGGTATTTCTATGAGTACTGACGTGAAAAACGCTGTTGAAAAGCTGGCTTCACCTTGCAACTATCATTTGTCTGAAATAGACCTCATTTAGTTATGCATATTGCACAAAATAGGATCTGAATAAGGGTTGAAATTTGACCTCTACGTTTTTTAATCGAATAAAGTACATGATTAAAATCCGTGGAGCAACAAAGAATCTCAATTAAACGCGGATATCATGATTCATCCTCCGTTGAACGCAAATACTTTAAGCAGAAATTATGTCAAGTGTGAAAATTGTGAAAGAGTAGATTCCAGCTCATGTATTTAGAGAAGGAGGAAATCCTAGGTTTTCAATGTTACGACCGAACAAATTTGCCATTTTGAGTATCTGTACAAACAGCGGTCATGAGAAAAGTTAGGTAAGCTATGTAAAATCGATGTAAGTCGCTCTCACCCATTTCTCCAAATTTCAAGTTTGTCTCCTCGTTGGAATTTATTTTACATTTCCTGCGTGGTCATCTTTTCCTTGTCATTGTATTGACTTATGCGTGAAAGTGGGCATGCTCTATACTGTACTTTCGCAAATAAATTACGTAAACCTTCTCCAGTAGCGCAAAGGAAAAAATATTGAAATATATTCTATTCATTGCACGATCGATACGGACGATAATAATACCGTATTTGCCCGGCTTGAGTGTACGAGAGAATGTGTAATGTTACGCAAAAGAGCACTGCTCTGAAAATGCAGCGTACATTCAGTATAAGTTTTGCAACAGAAACCAAATTAATTTTCTACTTTCCGCTCTTTCAAAGAGCCACAAACTTGAGATTAGATGAATAAATTCCCCACGAATGCTGAAAGCCTCAATACTTCATCATCAGAGGCAGAAGCTCTGTAACTTTTAATTTCAGTCAGGAATCTCGTGTCTCATCGTTCGGGCGCCTGTTATGCATCCCGGAATGGTTTCCTCGGCATCCCATAAGAGCAGGATTAAGAATATGAGAGTAGCTGTGCGGCCTGGAAATGCATGCCAAGAAAAATCCCGGTTAATCCGGCAACCTCTGGGGTAACTGCTGCACCCTTCTAGTTCTTTTGCCCTTAAGAGCACGTCGTATACCCATTCCAGCATTTTTCACAGCATTTGCAGAACCGACGTAGAAGCATCGAAAGTCGAAAGGCAGCGTTTCAAAGCGAAATAAAGTACCTGCTCTCTTCTTCTTCTTTTTTAAATTGAGTCTGTATGTTTACCTCATGTTGCTAACATGGCCGTATCGCAGAGCTTCCCTGTTAGTGATTTCAGTTTTCAGGTTCAATATGGCCGGCTTGGGTGATGGAAAGTTGCGAATTTTTGATCTGAAGCGAGGCTATGTTTCCTATCATAATTCAGATAACAACTGGAATGGCTTAGATTCATTCTGAAGATTTTGAGGCCGAGAATCATAAAATTTCGTTTCAAACATAAAATGCTGTGTGCATCAATAATGCTGTTCATTTCATGTTTCCCGCATTGTTATTCATTCTTCAATATTCGCTGAATTTAAATTTACGATTTTGGGATACTTTCTGAGAAATTTTCTCAAGTTTTTGTGGCATTAGGAAGTCGTTTTTTGCTTCAGCGTCCATAAAGCAAAAATGATTCTCGTTCGAGTTTTCGAGAAACCTAATGCAACCGTACCTATATGATGCAGTAGAAAACTTTAATTCGTATAAAAGTATTTATAAATACTGTATAGTATAAAACTGCGTCCGAATCAAACAGAGCATCCTTCACTTCTTTGAAAATTCTGATTGCATCCAAGATTGAGTAAATGACGTGCCGATACAATCCAATGACATATCAAGGCCGTAATTAAAATAAGGAACTTCATTTCACGCAAAAACTGTAGCAGCATCTCTGTGGACCTACAGTATTTCTTTTTTAGGAGTGAAAAGAAGGTACAATCTGAAGTGGTGGTTGTCCACAGCGAATTTTTTTTGCCAAATCGAACTAAAACTGATCGTGAAAAGTACAGTACTGTATCATCCCCGCTCGAATAAAAAAATAATTGTCGGATGAAAGGTTCGTTCAATTTTCTTAAATTTGATGCCAAATTTTAAGTTTTCCGTCGCACTGATATGGATATAACCAGGGTGGATTTTGTAAATTGAAGAAACAAGTATTATAAACAATTCAAAAAATGATTATGTAGAGTAGAAAGTCTCAATTCTGAAAATCGTGTTTTGCGCGATTGGCATGTACCCAGTCAGTCCAAAAATTGCCATCGTCAGAATGACATCTTCGGGATTTCCCTGAAAACGTTTCTGCATATTTTTGCATGATGCATGCCGGGATTGTGGAAACGATAAATTTAATAATGCCAAGGGTTTCTTTTCGACTTGCCGCGCGCTTTATTTGTCGAAAACGAAACTATCGTGGGGAATTATTAGCTTTCATTGATTGATCATTCAGAGAACAGCCAGTTATGGAAGTTTAACTTATGGTTAGCTCGGTACATCCCGTATTTCTACTGGATGCGTCATGACGTGAACATGATTTTGGCGGTTATTGCGACGCTGACG